CACAGATGTGTCATCTGTGTGGCAGTGTGAACAGCAAAAAACGCACTGAATCTGACATTTTCAATTCCGATTTGAGACGCTTTCATATGTGGTACTGAAATCCGATACGTATCCGATCTGCGGCAATGCGACTCAGTCTGAACAGCCAGATCGGAATTCATGCGACTTTTACGTCAGTCCAATTCAACATTCGTCATAGTTTCGCGCTGCTGAGACTCATAAACATTTAGTCTGATGTTTCTGTACCAAAACATTAGAAGAGACTCATCAAACCGCTCCGTGTTCGAAGAGGTTTCGGACGAAAAGGCCGAGCGCGGCCGGAGGAGCCCGAGGCTGAAGCGTCAGAGAGCAGTTTAAAGAATCCGAGGACTCGAACCAAAGAAGCGGCCGAATAACGTGCCCTTTTTACGGCGAACTCGAACACATTGTGGGTGATGAGCTCAGCTGTCAACCACTGGAACTTTATTCTCGCTCCTGTGATGCTGGGAAGACGAAACTAAAAGCTGCGGGAGCGACAGGCGTTCACTGGCCGTCATGACTGTTTACCTCTGGACGAGCTGCCATGTGAAGCACTGTTCTTTTGCGCATGCGGATCGGTTTAGGAGCTGATCTGTTTAGACTGATGTCGCGTACAGGTCACATTTAAAATATAATGTGAACAGCCAAACTCGGATTTGGTGAAAAAATCAGATTTGGGCCACTTTTACCTGCTGTGTAAACGTAGCCTTAGATAGTGTAGCTTTAAGGCTAAATGAGATATTTTTGACAAGACTAGATACAAGATAATCCACCTCCATCAGGGGGAAAGTCAAGGAATATAAATGAAAAAAAACAGCAGTTTTGACAACCAGAGTTCAAAAAATTATTAAAGAGACACAGAGAAATGGGACTCCTAACAACCGAGCAAGACCACCAAAACTGTCTCCCATCAGACAAATGCTTTTTAAAGCTTTTTATCTTTGGGAAAGGGGAGAAATCAAGCTCCACTGTGGCTTCAGATCTGAAAAAATCCACAGGTGTTTCTGTCCATCCTTCCACTGTGAGAAGACGACTCAGTGCTGTGGGTCTGAAAGGATGTGTAGCTGTTAAGAAGCTCTTACTGAGAAAAGGAAGTGAAGGTTTGGTATAAATCTGTAATGCTGTAATTTGTAACTGAACTTTGGAGGTGTGGACAAATATCCCTAAAGATTTCTTTGACAAACCGAAAGCGAGTCTCCTGAAAAGAAAAGGAGCTGTTATGAAAGTGAGGACACAGAAATAATTCCATCATATTTAGTTGTTATGGCTTCTATTGAACTTTCTGTTACATTATGTTTTTTCTGATGCTGAAAATGATTAATCTGTGCTTCATAGTTGATTTAACTGGAAATAAATGAAGGGTGAAGATAGATAGATAGATAGATAGATAGATAGATAGATAGATAGATAGATAGTTGTGCACACACACGTGTGTGATGGAGTATCATACTCACGGGGTGTGAGTGCCATACCCGTATTGATGCTGTTAGAGGGGGAGGGGATTTATTGCCCAGCATTAGAAGCACTAATCTGTTGCAGGTGTTACTGGCTGCTATCCGACACAGCCAAGCCCGCTCCCTTACCCCACGAGGCCCCACTCTGTGTGAGTGTGTGTCTGAGAGAGCAATTGAAAGTATGTGAAAGAAAGTGAGTTGAAAAAAAAAATAGTGTACATATGTGCCCATAAGTTTCACATGGGTCAGTTTTACCTTTTTTGGCAACATTAGCACCTCCTCACTTTCCCTTCTCAGCTAGCATCGCATCTATGAGTAACACATTATGATCTATGGCAAAGAACTGATCCAGATCACTTCGAATCCCACAGTTAGCCTCTGCGTCAGCTCTTACCATCATCGTTAGCCAGCTAAAGCTAGCTCCACTGATGGTAGGAGCTGAAGAAGTGGTTGTGTGGGTGATTCAGTTGGTGTAGTGGGATTCTGGGTGATGTAGGCTCGTAAGCTGGCTAATAACACAAAAAAGTCAGCAATAGCATAAAATAGCTAGAATCCTTTTGATCAAGAATGATTTTCTGTGCATAAATTGTTCTATATTCCCGTATTATTCAATCCACAGCTACCTCTATACTCTTGAAAATTATGGTTCTTCAAGGGTTCTTCACTAAAGAAAATAGTTCTGTATGGAACCACAAACACACAAAGAATCCTTTGCATGATTAAAGGGCTCTTTGCATCGAGAAATGGCTCTTCGGACTGATGCAGAATATGCTGTAAATGGTTGTATATAGAACCTTTTTGAAAAGGGTTCTATATAGCACCAAAAAGGGTTTCTCTATTATTACGATGTCAAGCCTGTAACAATAAAAGAACCCTTTTTGGTGCTATATAGAGCCATTTTCACAATGGTTCTATATAGAACCATTTAAAACACACTCTCCATCAATCTGAAGAACTCTTTCGCAATGCAAAGAACCCTTTAATCATGCAAAGGGTTCTTTGTGTGTTCATAGTTCTATACAGAACCATTTTCGTTACTAAAGAACCCTTGAAGAACCATCTTTTTAATTGTGTACTATGAACTAGATTATTAAACATGCTGCCAGTTTGGTGCTTAACAGTAGTACAATGAAGGACCACCAATACACAAATCCTTGACAGTGGAAAACAAAGAGGGAGTAAACCACATTCTGTGTTTTGGTCAAACTGTGGGCAGACATTCTTGACCAGAGTTCAATGCTACTAAATGTGCAGCAAGCATTATATTAAATCGACCACTGTCTCCTAGTGGACATATTGAGGTATTACAGCCAAAACAGTGTGATGGACACTGACCGTGTTTCACATTTAACTGTAGCTTATTTTGCTTTAGAAAATACTAAAATTACACTCATGATTGCAAGAATACAGCTATATATCCCACCTCTCAGCAACAGCCCACCCAGAGTATATTGAATATCAGGCAAATGTGAATTTAATCACCTAACTGACCTTTCAGTCATACTCATGTTTTTTTGGAGCATTGGGCATTTTCATATTAGACACTATAAGATTTGTGTTTTTGTGGGTAATACAGTCCCACTGTACACACTAAAATGAAATCTAATTTAGGTATGATTTTCTCACTAAAGCTTATAATATCCAAATAAATCATTCAAAGCAATGCTGAGCATCTAACATCAAGAATCAAGAAGCAATGTCGTCACCTGCTTTTCAGAGACTGCTGGTAGAGGCAGTACAGTTTATCCAGAAATCTTGTGAAATGGTTCACCTGTCTGCAACACTTTACAGCCCAGTGCCCTCCAGTCAGATTAGGAAACCTGCTCAAATTACTGCCTTCCTACATGACATCACAAACCAGTATAGCCAGTTTAACTGATGGAGCTGATTAGGATTAAAGTATTAAGTAAAGAGTAAGTAAAGTATTCATTTACACACACTATTATATAACGAACTTAAACATGTGCCTCAGAGTACATTTAGCAACAAAAGGCAAAAAAAAAAAACAACATGGAACAGGCCTACAGGCCTACTGTATGAACAAATGTCTGATTTAGTTTCTTCAGTCGTGAACTGTATCAGGCTCTGCAAACTGACTGACCAGTTTAAATAGAGGCAAATTATTAAATTGCATAATAAACAAACTTATTTAGGAAGTTGAAATATCATGGAACAGTAGGAATTTTTGAAAACGTACTTGTATGATTGTGAAAATTGACAGATTGAGTTTAACTCCTTGGTGTGTCTTCTAATATCTACTTTGGCTCAGATACCAATTTGAGCATCCCACGTTTCCAAGAGGGAATATATATATACGTTGTGGTATGAAGTTAAATATATACAAAATTATCATTTATAGGGTACTTTCTACTTTCTAGGGGGTTGTCCATGCCGAACCCTAACCCCTAAATTTACACTTCAGAAAATATTTTTTTTACTTCCTTCAAAGTTGAAAGATTTTGTTTTATCATGAGTTTAATTGTTAAATAAAAAGAAAAATATTCAAAACTTGCTGTCCCACGTTTTTATGTCACTACAGAAACAGAGTTTTAGTCCATAGGTGGAGCCTTATTTTAACCACGCCCCTGCATTTTAGAGCAGGAAGTGAGACTGCATCCCTGTCCCTCATGGCCACATGCTGAGCAGTTAGATCCCACTGTTTTGAAGTAAATGCAAGTAAGTAAAAATGTAAGTAAAAGTTGTAAACTTTTTGTGTTTTAATGAAAGATGTTATGATTTTATGTGTGTACAACAGTTCATGTTGTGGTAGTGTTATAATTGCTTTAGTAGTGACAAAATGGAACATTCTAGTTTGGTATAGACTCATTCAAAGCAAGATTTTATTCTGAAGTCCAAGTCAGTTTAAAACCCCAAATGTGTTTTGAACTGACTTTATTGTATTCAGTAGAATGGTACCACTGTTGTGCTTTTTGGACAGAGCGCTCAGCCTTTTGGGTCCAAGCCGGTGGCAGCACACCTGAAACCGTTTGTGACTTGCATTAGTCATTTGTCTCGAATATGGCAAAATTACTGCATTCAAATCGTAAATTCTCTACATAGATTATCAGTGCCTGACCTTATATGTAATTTGTGCATGTGTGATCATCAGTGTGAGTATGAGCAGTATAGCACAAGTCCAGGAAGCATCAAAAATACTGAAGCATTGAATCATATTAATATGGAACTGATAAAAATCCCTGTGCTAAAGAAGAGAGCACAAACCACCTAAACAGATCACACCTGAATTTCATTCAGAAACAGCCCTGTAAGCTTTATTCATTATTCTTTTATTGGAGGCGATGGTTTCTTAAAGTACAGAATCTGTCCAAAGAATAAAAACTGTTGAACAAATCCAGTCATGTGTGTTTTCCACTGCCTGCCTTATCTAATCACACAGGAGATACAGATAATTGTGAGGATAATCATGTGGTAAGTCATTTCAGCCCTTCTCAGTGACCTCAGACAAAGATGTTTTTGAAACGTGCTAACAATTAAGACATTTTAAACAACTCGGAATGAGACGAATGGCACAGTGATGTTATTACTGTGACAACTGAATTACTTTATTTTTGTTTTGTAGGAGGTTCACAAATTTTACAACAGGTCATTTGGAATCTGTTTTAGAAACAGCTTCAATGATAACCGACTCACATGTGTAACTTATTAACAAGTTTATGATGCCCTCCATGCCCTTCTTATGTGCATTAAGAGCTTTTCGGCCTGTGCAGTAGTGCTTGTGTCAAGGACAGTCCATTTCATTTTATTGCAAATATACCCAAAATCAATTCATCAGCATAACCATTTAAAAATAAGACAGTTATACTCACATATTTCCTATAACACCATTTTATATATAAAAGAAAACAATACCAAAGAATCAAATCTTTGAATATTCAGGATTTACCTAATGCTGTAATCTTAACACGCCCGGTGATATTTAAAATGCTATTAAGTGCAGTATTTCATGTTATATTTCAAAACAGAGCACCAAAATCAAAACCATAGCCCCCAAATCCCCTACATATAATTAAACGTGTGATCAAAGAGCTCTTCAAGTGCTTCGTTAAGGTCCCATATCATGGAAAAAACAAATTTTTAAAATGTACCTTTCAATTTCCAGTCCATACAGTCCATTTATGGAAACTAAGGTACAAAACAACCTTTATACATTATAGGAAAAAACTAAATACGATAAAAAGAATATGGATCCTTCACAGCTATCCTGGTGCCCTCTGACTATGTTTACTTTGAGTAAACACCAGAGGTAACAACCCATTTGCCCACAATATTCATTCTAAGAAGTCCTATTGTAGGAACCTCAATTCCAAAAAACTTGGGACAGTGTGTGATATGCTGTTTAAAACAGAAAGCAGTGATTAGTAAATTCAATTTAATCTGTATTAAATTAAAATTTTATTGTGAGCTAGTTCCAAATTGCTTGCTATATGTTTAAAAAAGGTTGGCTGAGGAGCATGTTTACCACTGTGTTACATCACTTTACCAACAATACCAAAAGACACCAACTGGTCCAGTTTTAAAGGTGAAATTTCTTGCCATTCTTTTATTATACAAGAACTTCACAACCATAATACACCAGACATTTTCAATGGGAGACCTGGGGTCTGGACTACACACATATCATGACAGACCCTGGCTTTTGAACTTTACGCTGGTAACAATGCTGGTACGCTGGATTGTCCTTTTTTTGCCCAGAGAACACAACGTCCATTATTTCCATAAACATTCTGAAAGGTGGACCACAATACAGGTTTCCACTGTGCATCAGTCCATCTCGAATAAGCTTGAGCCCTGAGAAGTCGGCGGCGTTTCTGGACATTGCTTACATATGGCTTCTACTCTGCATAGTACAGATTTAGCTTTCAGATGCTGCAATAACCACTGGATTGTAAAAGTATTTGTGAGCCTGTGTGGCAGAGGTGTCCAGTCTTATCCGCCAAGGACCAGTGTGGTTGCAGGTTCTCACCTGATCAGTTGTTTGAAGCCTGACCAACTGCTTGTTTTAAATAAAAACCCACAGCCATATCAGAATAGACCTTTCCAGGATGCCTCTTTATATCCCAGCCTGACTAATTTACTTGTTTAAGATGTTTTTTGAACAAAGTTTTTTTCACTTTGTTCATAGTCTTAAATTGTCCCTACATGTGCCCAATGTGCTACAGGCATCTTTTATTAGTTTAAATATAGGTCAAAGTGGATCAACTGCTTCCTGTTGTTATTTGCATTTTATGTACTGTCCCAACTTTTTTGGACTTGAGTTTTGTAGTATAGCTCCTTTGGTCACATTTCTGTTGTAATGTGTAAACTCTTATTTTCCCTGAGCACCAGTTGTATCTCACTCAAAAATAAAGTTCTGTAAATGGTTCTTTGCTAGGATGTTTGGTTCTAGGAAAAAAACGCTTTTCATATAGAAGCTTTACATTATGTGGAGACATCCATAACCAAAAGTGTTTTTTCTACAACGTCATTCCAAAGAACCCTTTTTAGCACCTTTATTTCTGAGTGTTTTCCAGTGTCTATAAGTGAAAAGTAATATACAGCTCTCTCTATAGCTTATGGCTGGTAGTTGTAGCAGCTACGTATCACCAGATCTCTGGCATGAGGGAACCAGTCTCTGAAGAGAACGCCATAGTAGGTGTACCAGGGGTAGAAGATTTCGCTTTGGCGCAGCGCTCCAGCTTTGATGATTTGCCACGCGGCCTCATGTGCAGGATAAGGAGTCATATCTATGTAGCCTCTGTGTTCACAAGCAGAAAACACAACCATTTATCATCAACCACAAGCCTCTACTTAGAAACCACAGAGATACTATTTCTTAGGTTGGGCAACTTTGTAGAAGTTCCAAGAGATAATCAGTTTGACAGGGAACAGCATGAGACTTTGCCCCATTACTTGTGAAACGATATGCTCTGCAGTACAGTGCTGCATGTGGACTTGCATACTTGAATTGGGAAAGGCCCCTTCAGATAGTTTACAATATTTTTCTCTTTATGCATTAGTAATGCTTCTTTTGAGATCAGATTTGGGCAAATTCTGCTCCAACTTAACTGCCTCATGACCACACTGTGAAATATCTACATCTGTCAGCATCCCTGCTAGGCTCACATCATTTAGAGCCAGTCATTGTTAAATAAGCAGAAGGATTATTATAGTTGCTGTGTAATTGACAATGTTCATAATTCACTCAAAAATAGAAGTTGTAGTTGAGGTTGAAAAAAGCTGTCGACAATGGCTACAGTTTGTGCCACAAAATCCAATGTCCTCAACAGCAGAAACGGGTTCATTATTAAAGGCAATAAAATCCATTATTTTTAGTTATACTTTGTATTTTGGCTGTCGTTTGTTTGGGTTCTCGATTTGGGTTATTTGTTTATTTTTTGCATGGCACTACTGCTACTGCTAAAACGTTTCTGTGCTTATGTCTTTATTTTTATATGAGGCAATCTGACTTCTACTGATGCTTCATAAGAGATTTGTAGAACACAGTAACTAGGTCTCTCTCTCTCTCTCTCTCTCTCTCGTTCTCTCTCTCTCTCTTGACATGAAGTGAGCCTTCAATTTGCACATATATTCATATATACACGTGCAAATATGTATGATAAATACTAGGCATATATGTCCAATATTTGATACTTACATATATGCACACAACATATATGTACATGTAATTAAAAAAAAAAAGCAGAACATTTATTGAGTAAAACATCTGAAGTCTAACATGGCTTACTTGATTTTCTCCATGGCAGAGTCTGTGTCAATGAGGCCCAAGATGCAGATACTGATGGACACGTTACTCTGCTTCATCACCAGTTCATGCTGTAGACTCCCAAAGAAACCATTCAGGGCAAACTTGGTAGCAATGTATGGCAGAGCAAATGGTGAACACATTTTTCCTGTGGAGCACAATTTACCAACATTCACATAACTTTATAAGTGAGAACCACATCAGTACATTTAGGTGGATAGAGTTCTTAAAGTTTTTACTCACCAAGCAGGGAGGAGACCACCACTATCGACCCTTTACTCTTCTCAAGGGCCGGTAAAGCCTTCACAGCCATTTGCACGTAACTATGGAAATTCACCTTTACACAATACAAGGGAAGGACAAGAGAAATTTCAGAACAATACAGTGCACTATAATGAATTTTAGGATTCAATACCCCTCAGTAGGGATGGCACAGTATGAAAATTTCCCATAATTTCCTCTAATTGACCAAACGTTTCACAGTTTTCTTTATGATCAAGATACATCAAGATAAATCATTTTACCACAAGTATTACATTATTATATTACATTATAATAGACTTTATATTTATCTTGTATTTCTTTGTAATAGTAAAAAATCTACTACAATTGAAAAAAAATAAAATGATCACCCGCACTACTACAGTTTACTGTTCAGAATATAACTACCTAAAAATGATTCAAGCACTTGCTTTGCAGAAGGTCTGGAGCGTTTTTTTTAGTAAATTAATTTAGTTAAAAAATTATTTAAAAACATTAAATAAATTAATTTAATTTAAAAAATTAAATTAATTTAATAAAAAAAAAAGCAAACTGTATATGGTTATTAGATATATTTAGGATTGGGGCCACTTACTGATTTATAGGTAAATCATTAACCTTCTGGGGTCTGAGGGCAATTTAGATTTTTGCATATCTTCTTAAATTCGCCTTTAAATGCACTTGCATATAACATGATACCCATATGTTTCATATCACAATGCTCCGTTATGTTCACTACTACTTTCCAAAACCTCTGCAGCAACTTCAGCGGCTATAAACTTTTTACCTGCCATTTCACATGTGTCTCCCATGTTGAATAAATGAAGAATGAAGGGTTTCTGACATGATGGTAAGTCCTTTATGATTTCCTGAGTGGCCATTGGTCAGGTTCACGCAAAATGAAGATGGACACTACCAATTACACATGGTGAGAGGCAGATGACGTGCTTCTCAGCCCCTTTTTTACAGCCTCATGACTCCGGATGTGAGTCACATACGATCTCGCAATAAGATGGAATGGAAAGGGCGATTCTACAGATTCAGGGAATGTTTGAACTGTATTTCTACACTGTACTGTTGCAAAGATAGAGAAACATATATAGAAACATTGAATTTGATGTATGGGCACATCCATGAAGGGTTAAACAAAACTCCAGTCCTAGTTTTATGTCATCTACACATACAGTACCATAGTGTGAGTGAATGTCTGGCACACAAACAAAACCCCACCAGAAACATTATTTTTCAAGCTTAATTATAGTTTGTGAGTCAATATTTTATGAATTGAATTATATACCACCTAGTCCAGTCCTGTAGTGTAGCATGGAAGCTCAGTGTTATGTAGTGACTCCAACACAATTTCACATTAGGTTAAATTGTTTTTTTATTCATGTTCTGAACAACTAGCCCAACGTACAAACAGTTTCTATGAACAAGGACACCCAGTGTCACTGATGTGAAGCACCACTCTTATAAAGCACCAAAAACTACCTGAGTGGTAATGGCGCCCCCTTGTGATGAGTCTTCAGCCTGCTAAACATGAGTGAGTAAGCGAGAGAGTTCATTTCACTCTCACTCTGTGTTGCTGTACCTGCATTAGCCATCGCACGTGATCCACATCGCTGTCCCACATCTGATATGGACTGGGCCCGATGTGGTTTAGCACTATGTAGTCCAGTCCCTTGAGCTGCTGTTCTGCAAACTCCACCACCCGGTCAGCATCAGCGGGAATGCCCATATCTGCTGAGATATAGAGGGCTTTCTGGGCGCCCAGATCCTGACACTTCTTCACCACCTGTAATCACACCACAGCGTAATTTTAAACACTTACAGTGAAGAGCACAGTTTCACAGCAAACTCCACCCAAATCAAGCTGGCAGTAAACACTGTTAGTCAAGTTAATCTTTCAGCCAAATCTAATTCTGATATCATCGTGCATTTCTAAATGAAGTATGATGAAAAGATATTGTTGTACATATAGTAGTCTATTATATTACAAAACAAAAAACATTCAGTTTTTGTATTTTTTAAATATTTTTTTAAATATAGTGCAACCTAGAGTACAGTATGGAAATAAAGTATTTATATTACTTATACATTTACTGCAATTGTTTATATAACCATGCAATTAAGCATGTAATTATATAATTACACGCAAATATACATATAAATCGTATGTAGAGTAAAATGACAATAACCCTAGATGTCTAAGGGTTCAGTGATGTATTGTTACACCAATAGTAGATATGTCATTAGAATGGCACAGTCAACCCGCTAACCTCTTTTAAGGCATTTTCTCTTCTTGCTGTGATGACGATTTGAGCACCCAAACGGGCATAATGGTAGGCCACCTGCTCCCCGATGCCAGTGCTTGCACCAGTCACCAACACCTTCACCCCTTTTAGAGACTCTGGATAAAACAGGCACAGAGATGTTCACATTAAACAACACTAACACTCACAGCAAAGTCTTTCACACCCTGTGCTATGTCTGAGAATTGATGAGGTGTTGTCACAAGGAGAGTAAAGTAAATGAGTGGACTGGTCCAGTGGCGAACGGTGCTTATTAGAGCTATGTCTTCAGTTCAGGACATAAATTTCAAAACTTGACGATAACGCTAATTTTTGTTAGCACCACTATGGAATTTCTAATAGTATAAAAACAGGTGCGCAACATTTTTATACACTCGAGTTTAAACACGTACATAGCTTGGTTAAACTACCACTCATATTCACAGTCAGTGACATACCTAGAACTTCCAGAAGGCCTCAACAGCTGATATTTTTCCTTATTAAATTGGTCCCACCTAGGGGTGGGCAGCAATATGGCAAATATATCTATCACAATCATTTCATGACAAGGCTGAACCTGTGGGGGACGTCACCATTACCAACTTCTACACTGCGGTGACTAACTCTCCAACACAAAACACCCACAGCTCAACACAAAATAACACAATAAACACATACCACACGCCTTTAACTGACGAACAACGACATAACGACACAAATAGTCCCTCTTCTGGAGGGAAGCACCTCCCATGATCCTCCTGATCCCATGACCATCAACACGACCATGTCTCACAAGCATCTAGAGGCCAGCGCCAGCCAGTTGCTACAGTATTGTGGCATAATGTATCACAATATTGAGAAAATATTTTCATACTGCCCAGCCCAAGCTCCACTTCTAGCCCCACCCCTATTAAAAAATCACAATGGGATTGGTTGATTCCGCTGTCACTTCTTGATTAGGCTCGCATCGAATGTGTAAGACTTTCAGTTCAACCCCTGAAGTCCTAACCAACGGGAAAGCTCGCCTGGCTGTATCTACCTAGATTGAAAACAACAACAACAACAAAAAAAACCTTGGGCCTTCACATCTAGATCTGTCCAAAAATGATATAGTAATATATATCAGCCACATTAAAATAATAACTTATGACTAATGCAATAATGAAGTATTTGTGGACAAAATGGCACAACCCTGCTTTAGGAAGTTGAGCTGAGGTTTCTGAGGGCAAACTAATTGACTGTAGGAGTAAAGAAGACAAACAGGGTCTTCTATAACTTCTGCTGCAGCCTTAAGCTATGAGTAAAAAAGGCATAACCACAAGAAGAAAACGTCCCTGCCTTTTAATACGTTTATTCACAACGAATGAAACGTTTCAAAAGCTAACATGTGACACTGCCAGGGGAACGGTATGTTATAATCCCTCAGATTACAGCCAAACAGGCCTCGGTTGATCATCGTGAAATCCAACTGGCGACTAACCACATTATTTTCCACACCATACAAATCACCCGTGGTATTAAATTAGAAATAACTAGAAGCTAATAGTTCAAACCTCAGTAGTGAAAGCCAGACAGTCACAGGTTGTGAACTGGTGAATTTACGACGACTTGAAAAAGAGGTAAAGTTACGATATATATATATATATATATATATATATATATATATATATATATATATATATAGTGCAACTGAAACGTTTATCTCGTGGCTGCGTTGAAGAGCCTCCATTGATTTAAACCCAGCTTTCAGGCTGCACGAAAAAACGTTAAAACCGTCTACAAGTGACTCCAAGAACAATACAGAGGAAGAGAACCTAATCCCACCTTCATTGAGAGACGGTCCACTCCACAGATACGCAATGAAAGCGGCGCTAAGTGTCCCAAAGAGAACGATCTTGACGGGAAGCTTCATTGAGGAAAGCTGAGGAAGGTTTCTGTAGAAGCTCTGACGGGCAGGCTGACTGATCTCAGATCAAGAGATCAAGTTCACGGTTCCTACAAGCGCTACAGGCTCCACACTCGGCACAGTCCGGTCAGTCGTACAGTCTGAGGTCTTAAAGTGAAACCAACAGACCAATGTGTGGCTTTCTGAAACAGGCGGAGTCTCTGAATGGAGCACTGAGGATTTGGACAGAGCACAAAAACAGGTTTAACTTGACGTTGCTTGAGTTCAGTTCTACAGGAACATCTGTGGGCAGTGGACTAGTTCGACTGTGCATGTATTTATTAACAAGACATTTATTTGAGCTCCTCAGTGCAGTGATGGAGTGAAGAAGTGGAGCTGACAGTTACCAAAGCTGCATATTGTCCTTCAAAACCTGTGTTAATGGCAGATTATCAGAGCTCAGCTGTAAACTGTAGTAATTAGTAACGTTAGTGGCAGATTCTTTACTGATGTTGTTCTGCTTAAAGGTGCTCAAAATCCTGTGTATGTGCACCATTATAGAAAAAATATATGTGGCAAGCTTTACATGTATATATATATATATATATACAAACACATTGCTGTCCATGCTGAAATACTAAAATGTATTTCAGAATATATCGCCACATTAACCAAATATATTTTAAAATACATACACGTAGCAATGTACCACAAAAATAAATGTATGTAAATGTATTTATCAAATACATTTGAAAATGTATGAAAACAGCCAAATACTGTCTAATTCACTTTACTGTTTGGAAGGCCTTCTAAAATGATTTTGTTTTCCAGTATGTTAATTTTAAGTATTAGCAAGTGAACCTTTAACATGGCGAAATCGAGTGTTGTAGGTAGTGATACTCTGTGAAAATGCAGTTATGATTTTGATCTTGTTTATTTGAAATACATTTTGTGTGAGATTCATGCAAAGTACAATGCAAAAAAAGTCAAAAGTATATTTTTGGCCTTTGTCAAACTTTGCAAAAATCTATTTGATAAATACATTTGGAATATATATATATATATATATATATATATATATATATATATATATATATATTCCATATGGGCAGGTATAAAATATTTCTACAATACCCTGCCAGAAAAACCAGCATAGACTAGCACACCTGGTCACCGAAAAAAACTGCTGGTCAACGGCAGGACCATTCTGGGTCGACCAGCTAAACCAGCACCAGACTAGCACTAGACCAGTATGCTGTTTTTTCAGCAGGGCATAGACGTCTGAAGCACTTAATGAAAGTTACTATATGAAAACATGAAATGGTTACAAATACGCTGCCTTATTATTCTATTATTATTATTATTATTATTATTATTATTATTATTATTATTATTATGTTACATATTTCTCTGCAATGCAATCGAACCACTCTGAATGATTTTGTTTACATCATAATGACTGAATTATACAGTAATGTTGAAAAATCAGTGAAATTCCCTTTTAATAAACAAAGAGTATACAGAGATATACACTACTGTTCAAAAATTTAAAATCACATGTCATATGAATCACTGATTCAGTAAAACACAGTTAGTAACTAGACTACAAATCCTTATTCACAATTAAAAGCATTGCAAATGTTATTACATTATTAACTGTAATTATTAATTTATAGCAATTTCTTGTTACTTGTGAGATGGTCACCACTTTTTAAATATTCTTAATATTAAATGTATTATAAATAATTTCATGATGCCACAGCTTTCCTACTGAGGAATCTGAGGAATCATCTACAGCTCTCTTCGTCATTGAACGCTGCTTTATTTTTACAGCTTCTTACAAAGTGTTTCTCAATCCTGCTCCGATCCACAGAACTGCACGTTTTCAGGCGCGATGTATCTTTAGTCTGACACCCACTTCAGCTAATTAAGCACTCTGATAACAAGCTGATGAGCTGAATCAGGTTTTTTAAATAAAGAAGAGAAGTAAATCCACTGCTATGGATTGTTGACGTCATATTAGAGTCATTTACGCATGTATTTGCACCAAAAACTTGTTTACATTATTTAAAACAGTGAATCCAAACTCTTAACGCTAATACCAAACTTTTCAACTGCAGTGTGTATCTACATAACCTATAATATTCCCAGGTTTGTGGGTGAATCAATGTTTCGTTCACAATATTTCGTCACGTTCGGCTCCGAATGAACGCGGCACCGTGATTCAAAATTCCGCACCAAACTTTATTCACACAGCCCGCAGGAAGCAGCCGCTGCCCTTGTGGATGCTGTTAGCTGTCAAACTAGCTAACAGCTAATGTGTGGAGAATAACAGCAGGATTGGGACTTTTTCCTCTATAATTGTTTTAACGCAAACCTCCGCGCGTTTGTATTCGAGCGAGCTAGTAATACTGCGTGTGTCTCAATGGCAGCGAAGATTTTGCCCGTAGTCAAGTAAGTCCGGTCTCTTCGCTGACGGTAGCTAATGATAACACACAGGAGCGAACAAGAACAGCGAGACTAAACTGTTATACACAGCTTTTAAAACAAGCAGGTGTAGTTTGGCAAAAGTAGTTTGTCAACGTTTGTTTGCTGCGGTGAAGTTGGATAAAACACCACAGTTTCGTATAGAACAGCAGCTCTGCGTTAGCTAAGCTAATGGCTAAGCTAAAGGCAGGGCTCAGTGTGTCTGATATGAAGTTATGAAGGACTTATTTAGCTGATTAGCCAGAGTTGAAGGACAGCATTGCACAGAAGTGACATCCCTTCGGCCAACTCTACAATCGTAATTTGACTTTTCCTACACTGTTGCCTTTAACACATGCACAGAGTATGTTTGGGTGTGTTTTGTGGGGGCCAGGTGTCCTCTGGGTGGTGTATTGGGTCATTAGGCTGGTCCCTACTAGTAAAAATGCCTTTCTAGGCCCAAACGCTTGAGCTTGTACACTCTTTAAAAAGAGGGGTTTCAAGGGTTCTTTAGTAAAGAAAAAAGTTTTATTTAAAACCATGAACACGTAAATAGCCCATTGCATGATTAAAGGGTTCTTTGCATCATGAAAGCGTTCTCCAGATTGATGGATAATGTGTTATAGCTGGTTCTATATAGAACCTTTTTGAGAAGGCTTCCATATAGCACCAGAAAGGATTCCACTATTGTTGCAAGCCAAAGAACCCTTTTTAGTACTATGCAGAACCCTTTTTTGCTGAGAGTGTATCAATCAAAACATGTTGGCTTCTTTAGTTTTGTGCTGGAGGTACAACAAGGTGCAAGCACACACTTAAAAAAGATGCGTCTTCAGGGGTTCTTTAGCAAAGGCAATGGTTCTGTTTACAACTATGAGTTCTATATAGAACTGTTTCAGACTTAAAAGGTTCTTTGTTCTAAAAAGTCAGTAAACTGGTTGCCCTGAAAAAATATTGAAGCTCCAGTAGTATGCTAACAATACTTAATGTTATCTGAATTATACATGTGACTTATTATACACTTGCCAAAAGTTATAACAACAACAAGTTATAATAACAAAATTATGCCTAATTTAGTTATTGAGAAACAAGTTCATTCAGGTTGTTTTGATGCAAAATGTTTAATTGTATAGAAACTTACTTAGATTTCTTTACGGTGGTGGTGATAGGAACCAGGGGTTGCAATATCTACAATGCAAATATAGTCTTAGGTCGCATATTTCATGTGAGGGAGCTTTTAGAGGCATTAAGCTCTTTGGACATTTGGTTCCCATCACCACTGCTGTGAACATTTCTAATTTGGTAAATAAACAGAGCATTTCATATCAAGCCTCTCTGAATGACTTTGTTTACCTCTTAATGTTTTAATTATGCAGAAATTTTGAAAAAACAGTGCCATACCCCTTTAAGCAGAACAAAAACACGTAAAAAATAACAGGTATTAATTGCTCTCTCTTACTTTTGTCTGGCAGGCTTGCCACCAAAGTGGGCATCGCTGGAGGAGCTGTCTATGTGGCCTATGACTCTGGACTTCTTGGGGGCAGTGACGAGGGCTCTGTAGCCCTGAGCAAGGCTAAAGCGGCTATTCCACCTGCTGTTGAAGAATGGACGAAGTACTTCGGCTTTGAAGTAAAACATCTTTAAATAATTGTCATTAACCTGTAGTGTCAGTCAGGCATTTGGAAGCCAGCCTATTCATTTCTGTCTTGAAACTGTCAGAGGGCTTTTGTCATGAAAGATATTTGCTCTTTTTCTGCTATGGCATGCAGAGCTGAGAGGGCATTGCATGAAAAGAATGTATGTTAGTTGAAATAAAAATGTTTGTAATTTAGAGTTTTAAAAGATTTTACTCTCTTTCATCTCTTTCAGCTTCCTGCGGCTCCTAAAATTGAGTTCTCCCCAGTGGATGCGTGGAACTCAGGTAATCCCCTGTCAGGGTTTGTTGTCAGTGAAACTTGATGTACACTCCTTCCATAAAGGTTACTAAGTGGTTCTTGGCTTGGATGTAGGATTCTAGGAGAAGCATGTTATTTGTACGAAATCCTAACATTATGGAGGTTTTTCACTTTAGGCTCTAAAAGGGATCTTCTAAGCAAATCAAATTTACACAATTTTCCACAGATGCACTTGTCACAATAGCTTTGTTGTCTGGCTGTCTGCAGAATGTTTTATCAAATTTTGTTTATTTATATAGCTCACAATAAGTTATACGGTGTACTAACCCACATCAGCAAGTCTGTGTAACCTTAATGAAGACCTAGATGATGTTTGAACAGGTTTTGGGCCTGTATTTACTAGACATGAGTCAGAACTTTTGAGCATTTCAATAGTCATGAAAGTTTAAATAGTACATTAGGACTATTTGTACATTGGAGCATTGTAGATTCTCATAAGAACCATGAGAACTCTATGCTCCACTAGAGGGCAGTGTAGACCCAGTGACTACATTTTGGTTAGAGTTTCTTGTCTGATTGTTCCAAAGAACGAAGTCTAGAAAGAAAAATACAGAGAGAAAAATACAGCTATTGCACACCGGACAAGAGGCTCTGCGCTGCCCCCGCAGAGGGTCTCAGGCAAGGGGTAGCAGATAGTACGAAGTACAGCTATAGCACATAGGAAGCATTGCAGAAAAGTACTGATAAACATCAAGCTCAAGCTCATTTTACACTCTACTCATATGTATTTAATGGAATAAACTTTTTACAGTGTAATTTGGTAACAACTAACTTACTCTTCACAAAATTGCTGTTGAGCTAAAAGGTATGAGTTGTCTAGGCTAATAACATCAGCAGAGATGAAACCGATTCACATTTGTCTTCTTATCTCAAGGACTTTAGATCTCTGTATTTTAAGCAACATGTCCTGCCTGCTAGGGATTTGGTGTCTGGGTTTAAAAGGGAACTCCACCAATTTTTCAAAATTTCTGCATAATTAAATGGTTAAGATGTAACCAAAGACATTCAGAGCAGTTTGATGTGAAACGCTCTGTTCTAGAGAAACTTACTAAGTCAGAATTGTTCACGGTGGTGATAGGAACCAGACGTCTGAAAAAAAGCTTAATGCTTCTAAAAGCTCCCTCACAGAAAGCTGTTACACATAATGGTTATGAATACGCTGCCTGATGCCCAAGACATTGTGTGACCATAGTTTTGTTTTACGAAAGTTTTGTTTTACTTTTGTTAACCCATGAATTTTAATCCATTCATGGATCCATTCATCCCCCCAAAAATGTATTTCGTTCAGATGTTCAACTATTTTACCATTATAAACATTACATATAAAAAACTTAGAAGACACATGTAGGTTCACTGGTGGTTCTGGATAGTAAATTAAACTGCTATAGTTGTGTTGTAGACGTTGTGACCCCTGGTTCCTATCACCACCACTGTAAAGAAATATGAGTCTAAAAGTTTCTTTACAGCAAGCTGTTTTACATAAAACAAATCTGAATGACTTTGTTTACATTCGCAATGCCGGAAAGTTCATCTTAAAAATTCCAATATCAGATTTGACTGAAATGCTTGTTCCCAGTATTTACAAAAAAGATTTGGGTGACTATTGGCCTTTAGTGTTTTTAGCAGTGTTAGCATCGTAGCTCCACATTTAAACTAAAGAAGCAAAATTTGTACACTAACTATGTCTTGGTTGATCAACTACATCTAGGATAAGTGGAAAACTGTGTAAAGCAGATTTTTCACTGAACCATTACTCTCAGGAATCAACAATGAAAGGTTCTTAAGGGAACCAGAAGTGGTTCTTTAGTAGCATTTCTCCTAAGAACTCTTTTGGCACTTTTATTTTTAAGGGTGCATGTTAAATTACTAGGTATTGATAATGAAATATGCTTGATGTATCTTAAAGTATGTATTTTGAACATTTTTTTCGACAGGAGTGCGGAAATCTATCCATGCTCTTTCAGTTGCTCCAACTGCAGTGTGTGACTACACAAGCCAAGGCTTTGAGTACCTGAGAGGCCTGGCCAAATGAACTTAATTCATCCTGCTCTGCTGTTTGCTTCAAATGGATATACTTCCCAGCATGTACAGGCTCACCGACGGGAAAGGTACACTCAAAGGACACCGAAGAACTGTCTAAATCTGTAGGAAGCTCATGTGGTTCTGCGCTTGTGTTAAAAGTGTAAAAAAAGATGCTTGTTCTAAAGGTATTTGGTGTCAAGTAAAATAAATACATGTACAAAGATGAAGGGAAGAACCTTGCTTTTTTGATCCCCTATTCTTTTTTTTTGAGAACCTTTTTTTGATCCCCTATTCTTCATCAGCATATCATCATCCACAAATATTTGACTCTGTTTTGCAACTGTAACTTATACTAACACTAAAAGAGCTCTTTAGATTTGCCCCACAGCATGATATGTGAAACATACCATGAAGTGTTATTATACAGAGAAGAAAACATGAGTGGGATCTACTTCAGAGGGGTTCTGAACAGACTTCTATACTATGTACAACCTGCTATTTGAGAGTTGTATGCAGCTATTTTGGGGCTACAGTTGCACTCTGAAATGAACAGTTAACTGAAAGTGTTTTGTCATGCATTGCATGTCATCAGTCTGCACTGATGTTCCCCCTGAACAGCCTAATTTTGATCCAGCAGGCCTTAGGAAGATATTTTGAAAAAATGTACCTGAATGTATATAAACATGCTTCATGTGCAAAGTGAGGAATCAGATGTGCAGAAGTTAAAATACTGGCCTTATCAAATAATACAGCACTGTGAAAAGTCAGAGACCACCAGTCAAAACAGCCATAAAGTACAAGTTTTTATTTTCATTGTCGGGATGAAAAGCATAATGGAAGATTTCATAGAAAAGTGCATCCTTTGCCTTTATCACACCTTTTTGTGAGACTTTCTGTAGTTGTTTAAAGAAATCTGCAGGGATATTTTTCCACACCTCCAAAGTTCAGTCTTAGAAATTGGTTGTATTTTCTGCTTCTCACAATCGAATTATTCCCAAACGTATTTAGTGGTCAGTCCATTCTTTTGAGAACACCAGCAGCTTCATTTGATTTGCAGATATTCTTTTTTTTTGTCTGTTTCATTTACTCTGTGAGGGCTTATTGACAGCTACACATCCTTTCAGACTCTTAGTATTGAGTTGTCTTCTCACAGTGGAAGGATGGACAGAAACAACTGGGGATTTTTCAGGTCTGAATCAAGAGTGGAGCTTTTTTATTCTCCCTCTCAAAGATAAAAGCTTTAAGTGACCATTTTGGTGGTCTCACAAGTTGTGCCCAGTAGTTAGGAGTCCCATTTTCTCTGTAGCTTTTAAACATTTTTGAACTCCTCTTTTTTCACTTATTTTCCTGCATGATAACAGTAAATACTTCCAAGAGAATGATTTATATTGGTCCATTCATCAGAGTTTCCCACAATGTCAAGGGCAGCTGGCACTTTTACATTCTGTACCAAAAAAAGGTTTTGTCCTGTCAGTGAGAATATATGCGACTGGCCTGTGGATGTTACACTATAGCAGTGCTACAGTAGCCAGTACTGAATCATTTCAGCAGTACTGCTTCAGATTAGGGTTGCATCATTAATTTATCTGCCTTTAATTGTTAACTGACAAGTTTAAAATCAAGGACGCAATTGTAAAATCCTTGATATGTGGACATTTGAGAGCAAATTTTGTATTAATGCACTGAGATATTAAGAAGTGTTCCTGGTATGGACCGTGGAACATAGTACTGATCGGTGGAGCCAGACATAAGCATGTGTATTGAATAAACAACCCAAAACTGCATCACTTTACATAATAACCTGGCTTTATTTAGAGGAAGAGGCTGGTAACTGTATTATATTCATGATTATTTGACCAAGAATGTAGTCTGCTGAAGGGCTACTGAAACGTCTATATTTTAAAGTTCTACAATAGTGGTCACCAACCCTCCTCCTGGCCATCTGCCTTCCGGCAAGTTTCACCTCCAACCCAAATCTACCACACCTAATTCAGCTAATCAAGGAAGGCAATAATTAGATGGATCAGGTGGGATCGATTAGAGTTGGAGATAAAGTGTATAGGAAGGTAGATCTTCAGGAGCAGGGTTGCTGACCACTGTTCTACAGTTATATTTACCTCTCATTACCAGTCCAAGTAAAAAGGAACATAAATGACCGGGTCTAGCTTTGGCTCAGTGTACCTCAGTAGCTCTTGAAAGCTGTTGCCATCCACCACATACTTCTCTATAATTGTGCACTCGTGTGATTTCCTCACACCGCTGTGCCTCGCACCTTTTCTCGGAGGACATGGGTGAAGTAGTTGTCTGTCTTATCACTGGGTACATTGTTGTATTTGTGCTATCGTCCTCTTGAACAGTGGTCCAGAAAACCACTATTTTTATCTGCATGCTTTATTTTTCAGTAGGCCTATATAGTGGAAACAATAGCCAGTTACTCCTTCATGCGTATATTTCATATCTTGAATCATAAATCCACCAGTTCACTTCGGAACTGTTGTTTATTGGAAATTAAATAATTGTTTGTTGGTCAAACAATCGTTTATTTGTCAGTTAACAGTTAATCGGTTAGTCATTTACATCCCTACTTCAAGTAGTTAATACAAATAAAGCCTTATGTGGTTGTATAAAGGATCTTCTGCTGCTGCTCTGAAACTTGCATAAGTGTTGCATGTGGTGATGCTGAGCTTTTAGTGTGGTTTCTGTCAAATATCACTCAGGCCTGGGCTGTGAGTTTTGGTTTCTGTTAAACTGCAGTATGCTTCAATGGACATTTTCGCTATTGTGGGAATTGGAGTCAGAGATGAGCCGATTGTATAATGCAAATCATATCAGTGTGGAATAAGATTCTTAAACATATACAAGCGTATTCTTTTAATAATCAATTAAGCTTTATTTAAACAGTAACAAAGTGTGAACAGCAGTTACATGCCATCTAGTTAAGAGACACAAAGAACAAAAAACTAAGCACCTTTCTTGATTATTTTCTTAATCCAGGGTATGTACTTTGAAATCTGAGTGTAGACATCGGGTACATTTGAATGTTTGCAATCTCTGTTGGAAGTAAAGGAGGCAATGCCCACTGCTACATCACCGCACACCAAAGGCCCACCGAAATCACCCTGCAACAATCAGAGCAAAAATCACACGTTCAGTGTTGCTTGACAGTTTCAGTGTAGGGCTGGGCGATAGTGCCAAAAATCAGAATCTCGATTATTTTCAAATTTATTAACGATTCTCGATTCCAATTGCGATTTTTTAATTTTTTTTTTTGATTCTTGCATAATGCCATTGGAAAAAGGCACTTTAACTTAAAAGACTCCAGAAGTGCAAAAATAGTAACAGTATCACCTATAATTATTAAATTAAATATCCTTTCAAGGGACTCAAACTGTGCAAGCAAAACAAAATTTGTACCAAAATAAATTGCAATAATTAAAACATAAAAGAACCATTTTAATTAATGATATCCTTTTAAGAATACCAAGCAGCTCCTTAAAGCTCACAAGCAACTTTCACTTTAGATAATGCACAAGTATGACCTCCTTACATTAAGAAAATTGCAAACCACAAAGTTCTTACAGGTTTCTTGAAAGGAACACAAGCCTATCTACAGATTCAGGCTTGAGAGACGCCATCTGACAGGTAAAGGCCTCAGCAGACTTCTTGCGGAGACGATGTGCCTTAATTGCGGAGAAAACAAACAACCGCAGACGTCGCGCCGAGGCTTCGTTCGCCGTGCCGCGCACATGGCAGCTGGGCGAACTCCACGGATGAAGACACTACGCGAGCCTCTGATTGGTCAATAAAAAAACTGATTGGTCGGTAAAAAAGAGGCGTGCCATTACGCAAAGGTGGACAACTTTGAGGAGCTTCGGCAGACACAGTAATATTTCACTGTGAAACGCGCATTTGTTAAATAAACAATGAATACCTCCTAAATGTAAGATGCTAAGTCTGTTATTCGGCAATACTAACTAGTAATACATACAGGTCATCTTAGGTTCACAAGAGGATGAGGCTGAAGTTGGCTTTCTGTTCACCAGCTTCTTATTCGAATTTTCCCATTCCACCTTAAATGGTGGCAGTATTCTGGACTGAGACGTCGCCATAGTTAGAACAGTGAAAGAATCGTTTTCCGAGTAGGGTCTGACTGCAGAACAGGAGGCAGCAGTTCCAGGACCGCAATTCCAGGACCATATGTTTTTGTGACACTGTTCCCTAGCGAAGTGGATATAAGGACCGCATTTAACACGTGGAAAAGAGAAACCATCCCAGTTTTAAATGTCCCTTTTTAACCCATTTGCTTTTTTTTTGTGTGTGTGATTGAGGGAGATTATATCTTACTTGTTGAATCTTGTTGGTTGTTATTGTTGATACACTAAATAAATATTATGGCACCAAAGCCTTTCTTGTGTCTCAAATATCTGGTTGAGATTTAGTGACTGTAAAAGCAATATGTGCAGTTGATTGTATCTTTATTTTTACACAATTACACAAAATGCAACTCTTAGTAAACAAGTTTAATTCTGAGAAAGTAGTATTTGGATGGAATAAGCCTCTAAAACTGTAAGTTAGATAAAGTAGTAGTATTTGGGTGGAATAAGCCTCTAAAACTGTAAGTTAGATAAAATAGTAGTATTTGGGTGGAATAAGCCTCTAAAACTGTAAGTTAGATAAAGTAGTAGTATTTGGGTGGAATAAGCCTCTAAAACTCTAAGTAGTTAGGTAGACAGGAAGGAGCATTGGTCATCCACTTTGCTAGGGGGCAGTGTCGCAAAAACATATGGTCCTGGAATTTTCGGTCCTGGGGGGGTGCTTTCCAGCAGTCATGAAACTTATCATAAAACGTCATAGTGTCACGTGGAGTGTCCGCGACAGGCAACACGAAACCACAGAAAGTTTCCGAGCTTGAAATTCTGCGAAGGCGAATCTACCACAATTTATGAAATATGAATATCTCCATCTTACCTGGCATACACCACTTTTTGTCCCTGCACACAGCACATTATGTGGGAGTGTATTATTCCACTTCTTCTTGCAGTCTTTGTCACTTATGGTTGACACATAGGTCACCATGAGGTCATTTACTGCGTTTTGTTTCTCTGTCTTTCCCCATCCTGCCACCAGGCACTTCGTGTTTGGCTTGAATGGTTTGTCCTTGCTCGGGATTTTGACAGTCTTCACAGATTTACCCTGTTGAACTTTCTTGGAAAGCTTCAATTTTGGTAATAGAAACACTTATTAGTTATTAGTGTCATCTTCTATACCAATGGTCACCAACCCTGCTCCTGGAGATCTTCCTGTAGACCTCATGTGTCAAACAAAAGGCCTGTGGGCCAGATTAGGCCCTGTGGTCAGTTTGGTTTATAGCAAAATTTTAATTAAAAATGAATGGCCCATGGATTTGTCGAGATTTTTGATCCATCTAATTATTGCCTTCAGAAGTCCTTGATTAGCTGAATGAGTTGTGTTAGATTTGGGTTGGAGGAAGGTAGATCCCCAGGAGGAGGGTTGTAGTAACGATATTCTTCTTTTAATGACTGTATAAAGAGCCAAACTATACCTCCAGAAGCATAATGTCATCCCCAGTGCTGACTTTTTTGTATGATAGGCATTTGTGCCTGTCTTTCACTTTATATCTGATCAGATTGTTTGCAGAGATGTCGTGAGCCCCGAGGACTACGCTCATGCTCCCCCTTTGTGTTTCAGAAGATGAGAGGTATTTCAATACTAGTAAAAAAGAACAATTCTGCTTCTTGAATTATGGCGGCCTACCTGTAATCACATTGGGCAGCAGTGAGTACGTAGCTGGCGTGTATGAGGAATCCTCCACATTTGTGCTTCCCGTTGACCTGCACTGATGCCATGTACTTCTGGGAGTTCTTCTTGGCTTTCTTACCATGAATGATTTCCTCTCCATACGTGGCTAGAAGAAGGAATGACCAATCAAACCAGTATCTCCTAGAAACTGTCCAGCATCTTTCATTCTTCGATTCACAACCAAGCACTTACCATCATATGTCAGTGTGCTGAAAACTGCAGCAAGCATCACTCGCTGAAGTGCATTCATCCTGTCAGTAAGTCGCTATGAGTCGAACACCTCTCTAGGTATTTATACTCATCACAGGACTGCCTCACTGTGGCTTTCTCTTGTAGACGATGTACTGACCTCTTCCTTACTTAGAGTGCAGTACTGTTGAACCTTGAAAATGCCAGTTGTCTCTTATGTTAAAAACTCTCAAAAGCATTAGAAAATGTTTTGTAGCCTATGTAAACAACATGTGCATTCTAAAAGTATGGTACCAGTTGGCCTTTTTTTGCCCTCTGTGGGAGTATGAGTCATTTTTCATGGAGTAGTGCATTGTGTGGAAGGCCATTGCATGAAATCTAATAAAAAATGTTCCCATTTTTGGAGATTTTGCAGATAATTATGTGCCAAAACATGTTTTTTTTTCCTTTGAGGATTAACAGCAAAAGGCTGATTGGTCCTAGTGTGTTGCACTATAACAAGTGTTGAATCATTTCAGTTATACAGCTTTTTAAAAGTGTGTTCCTATATTATCTTTTTTTCAGGTCAGTTTGTTCTATAATAAGAGTCTAGTTGTGATTGTATAATAGCCCTGCTGTTACTTGTGAAAGTGTTGCATGTGGTGGTGATGAGCTTTTAGTGTGGTTTCTGTCTAATGTTGCTCAAGCCTGGGCTGCAAGTTTGGCTGCACGATGCTAAAAATGGTATTTTGGCGATTGTGAGAATTTAAATCAATTCAGCATCTATAATAAAAATAACATTTTCTAACATAATATTGCTTTACAGTTATAAGAATCTGAAACATCTTTTACCTTTAAGAAAATTCAGTTAAGCTTGTATTGATTTGATACCTTTATTTAAGCATTAAAAAAGTGTGAACAGCATTTACATGCAATCAGGTTAAGCAACGCATAAACAACCACAACAACAACAACAACAACAGCAACAAGCCCTTAAGCACCTTTCTTGATTATTTTCTTAATCCAGGTTGTGAACTTTGAAATCTTAGTGTAGACATTGGGCACATTTGGATAGTCACAATTTCCATTCAAATTGAAGGAGACGATGCCCACTGCTGTCCCACCGCACACCAAAGGCCCCCCAGAATCACCCTGCAAGAATCAGAGCAGTTAAGCATTGGGAACAGTTTCAGTGTTTGAAGTTCTACACTCCTAAAAATGGTTCTACTAGGCAATGGTTATAGAACCATTAACACTCATAGAACTATTTGAATGCATTAATGGTGCTTTGCTTGCTTAAATGGTTCTTCTCTATGATGTTGAATGTGGTTCTTGAAATGGTTCTATAAAGCACCAAAAAGACGTCTGCTATTGTTAGAGGTCAAAGAACATTTTTTCATTATACATAATACAATTTTGCTAAGAATGTAATGAGAAGTAGCTCCACTGTCCTACCTGGCATGCACCACTTTTGGTCCCATAGCCACCTGCACACAGCACGTTGGGTGGGAGTTTAGTCTGGTCTGCTTTAGCCCACTCCTTCCTGCAGTGTTTTAAACTTACAGTTGACACATCGGTCACCAGCAGGTCGTTCACTGAGTTTTGTTTTTCAGTTTTTCCCCACCCTGCGACCTGGCACTTGGTGTTTGGCTTCAGTGGTTTGTCCTTGTTTGGGATCTTCACAGTCTTCACAGATTTACTCTGTTTAACTGCTCTGGAAAGCTTGAATTGTAGGAGAGAAAATATACATTCTCTTATTAGTGATGTCTTCGATACTAATTCTGCACTAATTTAATTAACTATAAATATCTGAACTGTACCTTCAGAAGCATGATGTCATTTCCAGTCTTGAGATCTTTGAATGATGGATGTTTGTGCATTTTCTTTACTTCATATCGAATCAGATTTTTTCTGGAGATGTTGTGAGCCCCGAGGACCACGCTCATGCTCCCCCTTTGCGTTTCAGAAGATGAGAGCTGTTTCAGTACTAGTAAGAAAGAAAGAACAATACTGCTTGAATTATGGTGGCCTACCCGTGATCACAGTGGGCAGCAGTGAGTACGTAGCAGGCGTGTATGAGGAATCCTCCACATTTGTGCTTCCTGTTGACCTGCACTGATGCCATGTACTGCAGGGAGTTCTTCTTGGCTTTCCTACCATGAATGATTTCCTCTCCATATGTGGCTAAAGGAAGGAATGACCAGTTAAACCAGTATCTTCTAGAAACTGTGCAAGATCTTTCATTCTTTGATCCACAACCAAGCACTTACCACCAAATGCCAGCACGCTGAAAACTGCAGCAAGCAGTACCTGGTGAAGTGCGTTCATCCTGTCAGTAAGTGAGAGTGAGACCACTCCAGGCATTTATACTCATTGCAGGACCACCTCATTGTGGCTGTGTAGCCACCTCTTCCTCACTGCAGTACTGTTAAGTGGGTAAATGACAGTTGTCAGTTATAGTAAGGTCTCACGTTCAAATACACACACACACACACACACACACACATATCGGCTCACTAGCTGCCACATGGGTGCACTTTGTAGTTCTGCAATTGCAGACTGTAGTCCGTCAGTTTTGTAAGCCCCTTTTCACCCTGTTCTTCAGTGGTCAGGACCACCACAGAGCAGGTATTATTTGGGTGGTGGGTCATTCTCAGCACTGCAGTATGTATGTGGGCATATGCTGTTGAAAGAAAGTGCCTTTGGCACGAACTTTAAAGCACACAGTTCTCTAGAACAGGAGTTCTCAACCCTTTCCACCCCAAGGCCTGTATGTTTATACACACAAAGCATATTGGCCCACAGGAACACAAAAATAAGCTTTTTTAAATGTGATTTTCTTTTCCTTTTCTTAAGTGCTGAAACTGAAATCAGGGCCTGAAAAAGATCAGACTGGTTAAGGCACAGTAACCAAATTTACAGTCAAAAAACATAATGTTAAAAAAAAGGGGGGAGGGGGGTAGAAATAGAAACATATGAGGTAGATGTGGACTGTGATATCCATTTACATTTACATTTACATCATTTAGCAGACGCTCTTATCCAGAGCGACTTACAAAAACTGCTTTGTCTATCCAGAGAAAGAATCTTTGCTAGCTACCAATAGGTTAGAGAGAAAGACAGTCCTAAACTTAGATACTGATATCCAATGGCTTTGCCACAACAGTAATAATCTGGTCTCGGGATGTTTCTTTAGTTATGAGGGTTTTGTGATTTGAAATAGCCAAGCCACACTCCTCTTTTGGATTAGTGTTGTCACAATCAACAGTAATAATAAACCTTACTTGATAGGTGCTTCTTTGTCATTGGCTCATCGATTTGAGTTTGATCACTCAGGTCGCTGATGCTCGCGATCAGTGGGCCTCATTAACCAATATGTTCCTAGGTTATGTCTTAAATGTGTTCTTGAGTAGGGTTTTAAGAAAAAGTTTGTTTGGAGCAGGGTTTGTTTGGAAGCTAACCGAGACCCCCAGTTTTTCAGCAGTTTGTTGGAGAAGGGTCTAGCTACAGTTTGTTGCAGACCTGAAAATAGATGGAATTCACACATGTAAAAACTAAGCGAACTTAAAATCAAAAATAATAAAAGCTGTAATGGTCCTCACCATAAAATGTAGGTAAAAGGAAACCTCAGAAGAAAACCTCATCTACATTTTTGTCATTTGACAAAGTTTGAAAATGCCTGTTGTCCTTTACGTTGTGTGTAAATTTCATGAAGAATGGACCAAAAGAAACAGCCCAAAACAACTTGGGAAAATGTCTGGTTCCATTGACTTACATTAAAAGTAAAGCAGGTTTTTTCCATTTCCTGTAAAGTTGCCATTTTGGAGATACAAGGTTTCTTCCGACAACAGCGAGTTGCATGCTGTAGCATAAACATTTCTCTTTACTGGAACTAATAGACCTAGCCCAAACCACTGCAGCTGGTAAGTGCTCAGTTATTTTAGGATTGTGTGTAGCTACAGCTGATTGTATCAAGATTTTGAACGATATGAGTCTTTAGTGGTCTTCAGTGGTATGGTTTTGACCAAAGGGGCAGCTGTTAGCTAGAAGTTTTCATTTTGCATATGGACCTTTCTACCATATTGGTCCAAAGTCAGAGTCAAAAAAAAACAAAACAACAAAAAAAAAACTTTTAACTGACTTGGACTTTAGACTAAAATCCTTTAGCTTTCAATGACCCTATAGCTTAATTTTGTTTATTTTATTAAAATTAATGACTGAACATTCCATTTTGTCACTATCAAAACAGTCATAACACTACCAAACCAATACCAAATGTTTAGGTAGTGACAGTCTTAGCTAATTTTGTTAACACATCTGTTACCTTTAAGAAAACACAGTTAAGCTTGTATTGATTTGATACCTTTATTTAAGCATTAAAAAAGTGTGAACAGCATTTACATGCAATCAGGTTAAGCAATGCATAAACAACAGCAACAAGCCCTTAAGTGCCTTTCGTGATTATTTTCTTAATCCAGGTTGTGAACTTTGAAATCTTAGTGTAGACATTGGGCACATTTGGATAGTCACAATTTCCATTCAAATTGAAGGAGACGATGCCCACTGCTGTCCCACCGCACACCAAAGGCCCACCAGAATCACCCTGCAAGAATCAGAGCAGTTAAGCATTGGGGACAGTTTCAGTGTTTGACGTTATACACTCCTAAAAATGGTTCTACTAGGCAATGGTTATAGAACCATTAACACTCATAGAACCATTTAAATGCATTAATGGTGCTTTGCATGCTTAAATGGTTCTTCTCTATGATGTTGAATGTGGTTCTTGAAATGGTTCTATAAAGCACCAAAAAGACGTCTGCTATTGTTAGAGGTCAAAAAACCTTTTTATTATACATTATAACAAACTTTTTTCATTATACATTATATGAATTTGCTTGGAATGTAATGAGAAGTAGCTCCACTGTCCTACCTGGCATGCACCACTTTTGGTTCCATAGCCACCTGCACACAGCACATTGGGTGGGAGTTTGATCTTCACAATAGCCCACTCCTTCTGGCAGTCATCAAAACTTACAGTTGACACATCGGTCACCAGCAGGTCGTTCACTGAGTTTTGTTTTTCAGTTTTTCCCCACCCTGCGACCTGGCACTTGGTTTTTGGCTTCAGTGGTTTGTCCTTGTTTGGGATCTTCACAATCTTCACAGATTTACTCTGTTTAACTGAGCTGGAAAGCTTGAATTGTAGGATAGAAAATATACATTCTCTTATTAGTGATGTCTTCGATACTAATTCTGCACTAATTTAATTAACTATAAATATCTGAACTGTACCTTCAGAAGCATGATGTCATTTCCCGTCTTGGGATCTTTGTATGATGGATGCTTGTGCTTACTCTTCACTTCATATCGAATCAGATTGTTTCTGGAGATGTCTTGAGCCCCGAGGACCACGCTCATGTTGTCCCTTTGTGTTTCAGAAAAGAAGCGGTCTATCAGTAAGTGTAGAAAACAAAGAATAATGCTGTTTTTTTGACAAACGTAGAGTGCCAGTGGCCTACCGGTCATCGCAATGGGCAGCAGTGAGTACGTAGCTGGCGTCTATGAGGAATCCTCCACATTTGTGCTTCCCGTTGACCTGCACTGATGCCATGTGCTGCAGGGAGTTCTTTTTGGCTTTCCTGCCATTAATGATTTCCTCTTCATAGGTGGCTAAAAGAAGGAATGACCAGTCAAACCAGTATCTTCTAGAAACTGTGTGGCGTCTTTCATTGTTTAGTTCACAACCAAGCACTTACCATCAAATGCTAACGCGCAGAAAAGTGCAGCAAGCAGCACCTGGTGAAGTGTGTTCATCTTGTCAGTAAGTCTCTGTGAGTCAAAGACCACTCCTGGTATTTATACTCATCGCAGGACCACCTCATTGTGGCTTTGTCTTGGTGTTGCCACCTCTTCCTCACTGCAGTACGGTTGTAAGTATGAAATGGTAAATGACAGTTCTTAGTTATATTATAATAAAGTCTCACACACACGTGTGTATGTTTAGTGTGTGTGTGTGTGTGTGTATGCATATATATATGTGATCATATCGATTTTTGGTTGCATTGTACTTGAATGGTAGGATCTAGAAACAAAGTTCAAGTGTTAGTTTGTAGCAGAGATGTATATGTCGCTTGCATAAAAACATGATTATTTCAACTCAAATATTTTCTAAATTATTAAACAAAAACCAAAATGTGTGAGGTTGTGCCCCACTCTCCCCTACTCAGTAATGAGTGTTGCAGCTGAGAACAGAATGTTGATTAGGCATGCGATCATATAGAAGCACACAGTTCTCTAGAATGATGTAACTGCATGCTGTAGCATAAATATTTCCCTTCACTGGAACTAACAGACATAACCCAAACCACTGCAGCTGTGCATAAGTGCACCATTATCTTAGGGTTGTGTGTAACTACACAGCCATATAAACTCAATCCATGAAGCTCCTGTTGAACAGCTTTCATGCTGACATTGCTTTCTGAGACAGTTCTGTAGGGGAGCATGAGGAACAGTCTAACGCAAGGCACAATTTAACACAGACATTTTATGCTGTTAAAGGTCAAGGAGCATGAGCTTCTGGCCACATTACCACATTTCCTGGCCATGTTCTCTCACCAAAATTCAGAGCGTTTGTCAGCGTTTTAAAGAGATCTGTGTATTTTTTTCAACACAGTTTTTTTCAGTTACTGAGCTGTTTGTGTAACTCACACGATCCAACCTTATATTATTTTAATTGCCATCTTACTGCCTAAAACATAGCACTGTTTTGAAGCATGTGATGAGCTGCTTAGGTTCACAGCAAGTGCTAGTTAGGCTTAAGTACAGACTCCATACTGTGGGATTAGTTGTTACATAATGTTACCACTAAGCCACCTTTAGTAAACATAGACAAATAGCGTAAATTTTGTCTTTTTGGTCCTTTGACACAGATTTTAAGATGAAAAAGAGAAAACATCTGAAAACAGGGATTCTTCTACTTTATTAGTATCTTTTTGGTTTTAAATAAGTATATTAATGAAATTGATGTTAACAGTTGGTAAAGCTGTAGTTATTCAGAAACAACATTCCATATTTTACTTATGTGGGATGTTTTTATTTGCTGTCCTTCACCAGACAAAACTGTATATTTGTCATTGTTTGATCATGTCATGTCAGTTTTCATATGTAGTTTGACGTGTGTGTATCTATCAGTTGAGCTGTCTGTCTGTCTTATAGATAGATAATATATAATGCAGTACTGTTTGAAATATATTTGTTTCTTACATCATAGAATTATATTGAATTAACTTTGTTTGCACTAATTCATCAGACTTTTCTATCAAGTGTTAAACTGACCCTCTGTTACAATCAACCCCACCCATGGGGTAAATTTTAACATTGCATTTCCCATCATTTTTGGTTGCATTGTACATGAACGGTAGGATCTAGAAACAAAGTTCAAGTGTTAGTTTGTAGCAGAGATGTATATGTCGCTTGTATAAAAACATGATTATTTCAACTCAAATATTTTTTAAATTATTAAACAAAAACCAAAATGTGTGAGGTTGTGCCCCACTCTCCCCTACTCAGTAGTGAGTGTTGCAGCTGAGAACAGAATGTTGATTAGGCATGCATGATCGGTATTGGAATCATTATCATCAGTATAGGCAGATAATTTGTTAAAATAAAATGATTAGCTTTGGACAAATTGAAAAGTGAAAATTGTGGACGTTGCCATTCCCCCATGATTCCCTAATTTTCATGTGCTACTTGCTTTAGTACTAAGCGGTGAGCTTGTTTCCATTTCCACTTTACAACCAGCTGTTGTGCTTGGACTTGTCCATGTCCCAAAACCAGCACTTATAGTTGTCCGGGGCAGCTTTAGCAGACCAGAAAGTGACAAAAGTCAGACAAAGTCAGTAAGTTCTTCAATAGAACAGATTCTGCTGCCAGCGGTCGTCTATGGAGATTGCATGGTTGTATCCTTGATTTAATGCAACAGTTAACAGGGAGTGTTACTGAAATATTAAAACCCACTAATTATTATTAGGGGCTGTCCATATAACATTCATCCCATACAGTTCTAAAGTTCTGAGAGTCAATCATCTTCCTCCTAAAGTTGACTTCCATGGCAACAACTTGCAAAGCTAACAGAGTTGTCAGTAATGTTGTGTGCGTCACTGTTGAAACGTCTCCCTGTTGGTAATTAGAGATCCTCAGTTCTGATGGTGTGAAGGTGCTCAGTAAAATGATCAGAAAGTCTTCTCTCGATTTCCCAAATGTACAATTTATTGCCTCTCTTTTAGGAGATATAAGAAACCAGTGGATCTCAAACTGGTTCTCAAGGCCCCTCGGAAAGTCTATGTTATTGCTCTATCCTTCAGTCTTGACAAGGATGTTTGTCTGTGAGGAACAGGAGGAGGGTGTAAAAATTGTGGTGAGAGTGGAAAAATACTCTTGTGAAACAGGATGTCCTTTATCAACTGCGCAAACAATGTCCCTTTTAACTGAACATCACCTGATTCACCTCCTACAGCAACACCTCCTCCAGTAATACATAATGGAGTGGCGTAAATAGTTGGCTGTATTAAACAACCTAAAGTACTTTAATGGCCAGTTGGGTACAGTCCGCACATTTTGGTACTACTGTTGTACGAGTGCTTTTCTATTGAACCCTAAAAGAATGACTTGGTAAATTTCAGCTTACTTAATTCACTTAAATTACCTCAGAAATCCTCTTGAGCATTTATAAAATCCGACATTGTAATGTTGGATTTATTATTTATTTTTAGAGCAACCTTTCTCTAAATATGGGGAACAAGTTAAGTGACATTTTTTGGGAAATAATGAAAATATTCACATATTTTCTTGCTTTTTTAAAGGTGTGTTTAACAGCTATGAAGAAGGGATAAAGTTTTGCGTGCACGTTCACATGCTCTCTGGTGAGAGTCAAAGCATGTTCCATTTCTCAAACATGCAAAGCGCAGTGCACAAGACCACACCAAACGCAACCTTGACTAAACACTAAATATCCAAAAATAGTTGATTCTCTGATTCCAGGCATCTGAGAATCAGGCATCTGTCTGGAAATTGTGTCCTTCCACAACACACATCAATAGATGGCCTGGCTAAGATTGAATGCGTATAATCAGTATATCCCACAGTTCAGTGCACTGGTGATGTTCTAAAGCCCAGTTCCGAATGGCACACTAAGCCCTGCGGTCCTCCTCAAACTCCACGCTTTGGTGTTGTCAACAATATGCAGACATATAGGGCAAGAAACCTCACCAGTGCTTGGTGTATTTGGGGAAGACGACATGCAGGCTCTGCTTATCTACACTGGCTCAGTTCAAATCACAAACATAATGCATCATAATAAAAATGCTTTGCATCCACATCTGAATATCTTCTCTGCCATGTTGGTCAGAAAGCTGTAAACAAACCATCCACTATGATTGGTCCTTACTTCTATCTCAAGGAATTTTAGGTATTAGGCTGAAAGCATGCATAGTGAGCACCCCAGTTCAGATCAGTTGACTTTGGGAAAGAGCTTTGACATTGTGAGACTGCTTGTCTCTCAAACATATAGCACATATCTGCACACTTATCATCTTATCAAGTGCTTGCACTCAAGCAAAAACATTAACCGCAAGCGTGGACTTCGGGACAGGCCGATCAGCCTGGATGTTCCTGGATCGTTCTGGATTTTGGTTGTCTGTCCTGGAAAATATAACCCCATTCCTGGACACAAAACATCCTGGAATCCAAGCACTTATGAATTTTAAACTGCTTCTTTTTATCCACTCAAACCATTTGTATACAAAAAATGGGTTTGATTGGTTCAGGTTACCTTCAACGCAGGTACACTTTGGTGATTGGTTTAGGCACAAGACAGTAGTGCAATGAGATAACTGAGTAGATTAGGTTCTGTAGCTAAACTGCTATCGATTTACCATAGACTGCGTTGTGGGCACAGCTACACGTGCACTGAATTTGGTAAAAAATCAAGCTACTGATTAAGCGTCCAGGAATTTTACAGGGCAGGAGTAGCAACCCTATGTGTGGATTATCTGTCTACTAAACTGTTTAAACACTCTTGCAGAGGAAATTTCCATAGCGTCTACACCGACGCATTGACACTCTTGTGTGTGACTAATAGTGAGTACAATATGAAAACAAAGTCTAATAGTTTCCAGAAAGCCTTGGTGTGGGATTTCTTTGTTTTCATTATGGTCACTCAATTTTTCCGACCTTCCCATTTACTAGTCATAACTGTGCAGATGCAGACATGGTTGCATACAACCGTTTCAGCAGTTAGTGTATAAACATACACCGATCAGGCATAACATTCTGACCACTTCCTTGTTTCTACGCTCATTGGCCATTTTATCAGCTCCACTTACTATATAGGTGCACTTTGTAGTTCTACAATTACAGACTGTAATTTCTCTGCATACTTTGTTAGCTCCCTTTTACCCTGTTCTTCAATGGTCAGGACCCCCATGGACCCTCACAGAGCAGGTACTATTTGGGTGGTGGATCATTCTCAGCACTGCAGTAACACTGACATGGTGGTGGTGTGTTAGTGTGTGTTGCACTGGTCTGAGTGGATCAGACACAGAAGTGCTGCTGGAGTTTTTAAACACTTACTGTCCACTCTATTAGACACTCCTACCTTGTCAGTCCACCTTGCAGATGTAAAGTCAGAGACGATAGCTCATCTGCTGCTGCACAGTTTGTGTTGGTCATCCTCTAGTCCTTCATCAGTGGTCACAGGACGCTGCCCACAGGACGCTGTTGGCTGGATATTTTTGGTTGTTGGATTATTCTCTGTCCAGCAATGACACTGA